CCCGCCCCAGGCTGGCCAAGATCTCCGGGCTCCTGGGTGCCGACAGACCTCCGCCTGCTCCCTCACCCGAGTGCCAGGCCCTCAAGCTGCCCCGCCACCTCAGGCACGCCCCGGCCTCCCCCTTCAGCACTTCCACTCGGGCTTTTCTCCTCACTGCCTCTTGTGCCTCTCTCCCACCCTCCCCGCCACTAGGAAGACCCGTTTCCAGGAGGCCATAGCCCAGGCTCCGTCTGCTCACACAACACGGGGAAGCTCCCAGGGACAGCAGCCGCCCGCCCCTCACCACAGGACCCGTAGACCCCTCACTGCTGAAGCACCACGCGCAGCCATAGTCCTCCATCCGCAGAAAGCTTTGGGAAAGCAGATCCCTCCACTTCGTGAGAGCAACACCTGCCTCAGATCACCAAATGCTCCCCCAGCCCCACTTGGTGTAGGGAGCTGGGTGGCGCACACAAATGGGCAGTTCCCACCTTTTCAGAGTGTAGATAAACTTAAAACACAAGTAGGCCAATAGAAGTGCCCCAAAAGACATCAGTTGTCTCTTCAGATTCCCTTCTCCTGAAAACTGCGACCAAAGCCACAAGGAGAGTCATCCCAGAACTGTAGATCCGCCAGTCATTTGGTCAGTGGGGAGGATGTGCTTGCACCCTGGCTTATTCAGTCTACAGCTGCTGAAGCCACTTGTCCTCCACATTAAGAAATAGCTTCCTAACACAGCAGATGATAGGCTCATTGGACCTGAGCTCATGTAGCCAGTTACACTTGGCATCAGCCAAGGGTCTGGCCCTCAGACTTCACTTACAAATTCAGTATGTCCTTCCTGCCAGCATTTGGATTAGTGGGTCACTAGATTATCTTCAAGTTGGTTTCTCCATCCTACAAAGTATTGGGTAGAAACAGGATAGAACACGTCTAGATAAAATGGTGGTAAGAGTATCAGTGCTTACTTGCAGGTGGTCTCTACTGATGCTTCCAGTGACATCAGTGGTATAGGACAAGGCATTTTACTGGGGCAGGCCAGTGTGGCACCATCCCTCTATATCCTCTGCCTATGACCATATTACCTTGTACTTCCTTATTCCATCTACGTTTCACAGCTCCCAAATCTCTGGTCACCAAAACTAGGTTGCAAGATAACTGATGTAAATCATAAGACTCTTGATTTTAAGCCCCTGGAAAATGCAGCTTCCCAATGGCTTTGGATATTAAATAGTTCTAAACAAAGAGGTGAGTATAGAACCAGCAGAATACCATTGAGATAATCTTAGAAACCAGACCTTTCTCTATACATTCGCATTTTAAATGCCATACATACGCAATCATATACCTTCAGATGGGGGGGGGGGTTGTGTGTGTGTGTAATGCGAGTATACAACAGGATTTGCCTTAGTTGCGTCTCAGCACCGAATATAATGAGAATATCTTTAGAAAAATTGCTTCTTGTAAGAGACGCTTTGAAGCACAAGTAAAAGCAGCTGACCTTGGATGAATGAGACTATCTCTATTGTGCCTTGGAAACTTGCACAATACATTTCTGTAAGCAACTAGAGGATAATGGAACCAGGAACAATAAGCAGTAGGAGTTTATAAAGAACAAATCACCCAGAGAAACCAGATCACTTTTTTGTGATAAGTACAAAATTAGCAGATGAAGGGAACACAACTGATGATAGCTCTTAAAAGTCTAGCTCCAACACAGCATCTCACAAAGTCTTGTACAATGACCCTTTCATCACAGATTTGCAGCAGGGCTTGGGCCTCAGACCTTGAATACTAAAAGCAAAGGGCTCTACTTCTTGAACTAAAGGAGGATCTCCATTAGTAGGTAGCAAAGCAGTAACAGGCTTTCATGTGGACTAGGCACTATAGGGAACACACAGCACTTTGTACTAGAGGCTTATATATACTTGAAAATAATGATGAGCATTGGCTCAGGTAAGGGAGAAATCAGACTGAAAATTAGCTAGAGTATCTTTGAAAAAAAGGTAGGGACACAGCAACAGGGCAGGGGTGAAGTAGTGAGCTACAGAGTCTAGTTGTAGTAGGAGGCTTATTTTTAGTCTCTTAATTATCTGTTCTAAAGAGCAGGCTGTATGGATTATGAGCAATTTGGGAAAGGGACAACCTCTTAACCGCACTTGTGATCAGCCCCCTAGCACAACGGGGTCAGGGGGGTTCTGAATCCCCGACTGAAGTACCTAGACATTATCTGCATTTAAAAACAGTTCTCCAGAGTCTCCATAAATAGTATAGCAAGTTCGAAGTGTTCTGATGACAGAGAAAGACTACAGATAGGACAAGACCTACTGGTAAGAAATCAGCTGAGATTCAACCAAGTAAAATGCAGTGTAATAGGTAATAGGGCTCCTTTGCTTTCTGATATATGCTCTGGAGTGTGTATGTATATGACTACCCCGTGCCCTCTACTGGCTAAGTGTCACACACCTGTCTGTGTATAAAAGCTACAGCTACTGGGTGAACTATTGGAATTGCTCCTGTTTAGTTCACTGGGTGAAAATCTGCATTTTTGAGCCAAGAGTCATGAATGTAAATACTTGGCTGCATGTATATGGCTGGCTGACAATTGCAAGATTTGTTTCAAGCCCAGAGATAGCTAGGGAGATGGACATTATAGAAACCTGTATCACTTATAATAGCAATGAGTCCAACAGGGTCTTATAAAAATGGAATAGGCTCCTTATAGACACCACTCTAAAAATGTAATGGAGAAAGATGACATTGCCACAGAATTTCTAAATAGTCATAGAGATGCTAAGAGGCAATGATATCTCTTCTAGGGAATTCAGTAGGTTGGCTTCACAGTCTTGTACTGGCAGAAAGCATGGTAGGGTGGCACCTTAGAAACTAAGCAGGTCAGAGAGGCAGAGAGCAAGGGCATTAAATAGAAAAGAATTAAAAGTCATCTAAATACATAGGATACAGAAGGGGGAAGGAATGGATGGGAGTGGCATTATGGCTGAGAGACAAAAGTAGGTTGAAGAGATCAAAAGGGATCAACATAGCAATCAGCCTGCTGAGGAACAGAGGAGTTCTACTGGGATCCTCTCTCCATTGTATTCTACAGAGCATCATGCAAGGCATGCATTTGCTTGCAGGAGAGGAGGCAATCAACCACCTCACCTGGAGTGCAGGATGACTAACTCCTCCAGCTGATGTCATGGTCCCCACCAGCCCTGCCACTTGCCCTACCCTTTGAACACTTATGGATTCCTTCTTCTGGGGTGGGTGGAAAGGGGACATCCACATACTTCCCCAAATCTGTCACACACACACACACACACTGTACCTATGCTAAGCTTCTCAAAGCTACACGATAAAAATCTCTCTGTGCCAAGCCTATTCTGCAGACAGCTGCTACGCAGCATTGCAGCACAACATGGCACAGCTCCATTTGGGTTATCTTGCCCTCCACACTCACCTGCTGTGGTGCCTGGCTACTTGCTGAGGCCTACAAATGGACTTTGCAAGGTCAGTTTGTGTAACTGCAGGGGTTCAATTAATGTCTACTTACCTGTGTTACTAACAGTGCTGATTGTTAAAGCTGAGCAGTACCAAATCTGAGTGTGAACTGTTTGCTTTTAGTACTGTATTCATCTGGGACTTTGTAACTACTCTGATCCATTTCCCTTCTGTTAAGAGTCAATTCCATTTCTGGACTAGCAAAGAACATATTCCAAAGGGAATATCCACATTTATAGCCACTACTTTGTCTTTACCTTGACTGTTCTTCTCATAAAAATATTCCCCCATAAACGTATTTCAGGTTGATCTTCCTTTAAAGGGAAAAATTCCCCACCAAGATGCTGTTGTGAGACCCTGGCAGGGGTCTCATTGTTGTATCAATGGTGTGTGCTCCCCCTGCCGGCTTTGCAGCAGCAAGGTAGACAGGTTTCTCAACCCACTGATGCCAGAAGTGAAGCCAGTACACTAAACTGTTGAGGGAGCTGCAGTTAGTTAATGCTGAACAAAGGGTGCGTTTGTTGCAGCTTCATGCAAAAGGCAGGAGGGCAAAGATACAAAGTACTTTATCCACCTCTGAAAGGGAAGGGGTAATCCAAGAACAAAGGCTTCAGTTCCCAACAGGCCAGACTCCTATTTTCATGGTCAGCTGACCAGTTTAAAGAAGGGAAGGAGGAAGTCAGTCTCAGGAAGACAGCAGAGGAGTTTTCAATGTAATGTATGTGCCAAATGCAGAAGCTAGCTGTGATAAAGAGAGGAAGATAGTAATACAATATGCCCCTGCATTTATTAGGTTTCCAAGTTGTAACCATACTGGTCTAGAGGCAAAAGGAATCAGAACACACGGTAGAGGTGATATCTTTTATTAGACCAACTAGATTTTTACAAATAAATTGTAAACACCTAGTTGGTCTAATAAAAAAAGATATCACCTCTACCTGCATTTATTAAACATTCTTCATCCTGATACAAGCCAACAAGCATCATAAACTCACGTGCCAAGCATAACCGGAACTGTTTCATCGGTTACTACAACTCCGATCCTCTTGGGGTGATGCACTTTCAACAGTGTCTAGACTTACCACAGCATCCCACTATTTAGGGAAATAATACTGCAGACATTTAAAGGCTTGTGTGTGTGTGT